CCCTGTTCAAGGCCATGAGCCACATGCTGTGCATTGGCTATGGGCAGCAGGCACCTGTAGGCATGCCCGACGTCTGGCTCACCATGCTCAGCATGATCGTGGGTGCCACATGCTACGCCATGTTCATCGGCCATGCCACGGCACTCATCCAGTCCCTGGACTCTTCCCGGCGTCAGTACCAGGAGAAGGTCAGCAGGGACAGGAGAGGGAGGTGTGGCATGGAGGGGTGTTGGAGACTGGGTAACCTGACTTGAGGCCCATTCTGATGTGTGCCCCTGTTGCATCTCTGTTTCCTTTCCTGCCCTGTGTCCATTTGTTCCCTGCCCCTGCGTGTACCTTTTCCTTGTTTGAACCTATGCCTGTGCTTGGCCCCTCCGCTGTCCATGCCTGGGTTTTCCTATGACTGTGCTCTGTGTCTTCCTGGTACCCACCATTATCCATATTGCTCTGTGGCCCTGTGTATCCATGTCTGGTTCCATGTTTCACCCCTTTGAGTCTGACCTGTGTCTCTGACCTCCCCCACACACCCCTCACTGTTCCGGCCCCAAATCTCTCCCTGTGTCCTCTTGCCCCTGGCAATGGGCTGGCCCTCCAGTATAAGCAGGTGGAGCAGTACATGTCCTTCCACAAGCTGCCAGCAGACACGCGGCAGCGCATCCACGAGTACTATGAGCACCGCTACCAGGGCAAGATGTTCGACGAGGAAAGCATCCTGGGCGAGCTGAGCGAGCCACTTCGGGAGGTGGCACTGGGTTGGGCCTGGAAGGGGGACTCTTCAGGGACCTGGAGTGCTGTCTGGTGATAGGGGCTATTGGTCAGCAGGTGCTCCTATAGGGAATGAGGCCTGCAGAGGGCCCTGTGGGAGGCCAGGTATTTGGGGGCTTTCAGGGGATAGGGTCTTTCTTGAAGGTCCTTTGCAGGTGAAGTATACATGAGGAGGGATTATAGGGATCTCTGTTTTCGGGGGATGGTCCCACAAGGGCTCATGGGAAAGATCCGAAGGCAGGAGTTTAGGGATGGTCCCAGGTCCACTGACACATTCCCATCCTTTGGCAGAACATGACCCCAGGGGTGGGGTTTCTGGAAGCAGATGAGCTTGGGGAATCATCTCAGGTCACCAGGCACAGCCTGCCTGACAGGCCCCTCCCCTGTCCAGGAGATCATTAACTTCACCTGTCGGGGCCTGGTGGCCCACATGCCGCTGTTTGCCCACGCCGACCCCAGCTTCGTCACTGCAGTCCTCACCAAGCTGCGCTTTGAGGTCTTCCAGCCGGGGGACCTCGTGGTGCGTGAGGGCTCCATGGGGAGGAAGATGTACTTCATCCAGCATGGGTTGCTCAGTGTGCTGGCCCGCGGCGCCCGGGACACACGCCTCACCGATGGATCCTACTTTGGGGGTCAGCAGGTCTCAGGGAGGGTGGCAGGGTCACGAGCAGATAGTGGAGAGGGCAACTGCTCCTGGGCTCAGGATCCCTACCTGGGTACGCTGCAGAATCACAGAGCTCCAGCCCCTCCCCAGGCCTACTCAGTGAGAACCTCTGGGCTGGGATCTGGAGCTCTGCAGTTTTTTTGTTTGTTTGTTTTTTGTTTGTTTGTTTGTTTGAGGCGGAGTCTCACACTATTGCCCAGGCTGGAGTGCAGTGGTGTAATCTCGGCTCACTGCAAGCTCCGCCTCCCAGGTTGATTCTCCTGCCTCAGGCTCCTGAGTAGCTGGGACTACAGGTGCCCACCACCATGCCTGGCTAATTTTTTGTATTTTTAGTAGAGACAGAGTTTCACCATATTAGCCAGGATGGTCTCAATCTCCTGACCTCATGATCTGCCCGCCTCGGCCTCCCAAAGTGCTGGGATTACAGGCGTGAGCCACCGCGCCTGGCCTGAGCTCTGTAGTTTTTAAAAGCTTCCCAGGAGATTCTAATGCACAGCCAGGTTGCAAACTACTGGGCCAGAGGGCCTTTTAGAACCCTTAGACAGTGAAATCCAAGGAGCCTATGAGATGAGGGAAAGGCAGGAGTGAAGCACAGCTGTCCTGGAGCATGAGCTTTATGGAGCTGCCTGGCGGTGTGATTCAGGGACCCAGCCTGTGGCAGTAGGGGCAGTTCAGCCAGCCACTGCCCAAAGTGACTGGAGGCTCATATAATCTCTCGGCCTCCAAACCACCCACTATCCCCATCACATTGCACTTTGCTCTTTGACACTGCTTTTCTCCTTCAGGGCTGCCCTCAGTGTTTATTCAAGGGGGTAGGAGGGGTAGGTACACTGAGTTGCCCAGGTCTACCTCTTGGGATAGAGTAGTCGGGGAGGGGTGGGAGTTAAAGTGAAGTGGAATCACTGGGAATCTAGGGCCAGCAAGACCTGTCTGGTCGTCAGCCTTCATTTGGAGAGAGTGGGAAGGACAGGGAGCAGTAATCCAGTAATTGTGGGAGTCTGGAGAAAGACAATGCTTGGGGTGTTTAGGGACCCTGGGGCAGGGAGGTAATAGATAATCAATGGTTTCTCCCACATCTAGGGAGGAGCCTTAGAAAGTGGGGTCCACTGCTACAGGCTCAGTGAGAGGAGTTCCAGGGACAAGGACAGGGGTTCTGAAGCTTCCTCCCAATTTCTGCAGAGATCTGCCTGCTAACTAGGGGCCGGCGCACAGCCAGTGTTCGGGCTGACACCTACTGCCGCCTCTACTCACTCAGTGTGGACCATTTCAACGCTGTGCTCGAGGAGTTCCCCATGATGCGCCGGGCCTTTGAGACCGTGGCCATGGATCGGCTGCGCCGCATCGGTGAGACCTGTCCACCTATCTGCTCTGGGTCCAGACTGTGCACTCACCCCACCTCCAAAGCAAGGAGCCCAGGCTTTAGGGCTCCAGGATCATATCCCAATCAATTCAGTCCCAACAAATGCCCCCTAACAGGCCTTTCGACACTGTGGCCCACTGTCCCTATCCCTCAGCATGTCCTACCCAGGAGAGATAGCATCCCAAGTCTCCATGTCCTGAGTCCTCCTTCCCCTGAGTACCAGTCCTCTGACCCTCGCTGTCTCTGATACATATCTCTTCCTCCAACCCCCATCTCCACCCGCATAGCCCCATTGCCATACTACTGACTCCCATCCCCTACCCTCAACCCCACCCCATCCTGATACCCTCATACTCTTTGATATCCAACCTCCATCTTGGATTCCTTCCCTATCCTTAACTTCTCCCTCCCGGGACAACTTTTAGGCAAGAAGAATTCCATACTGCAGCGGAAGCGCTCCGAGCCAAGTCCAGGCAGCAGTGGTGGTGGCATCATGGAGCAGCACTTGGTGCAACATGACAGAGACATGGCTCGCGGTGTTCGGGGTCTGGCCCCGAGCACAGGAGCTCGGCTCAGTGGAAAGCCAGTACTGTGGGAGCCACTGGTACATGCGCCCCTTCAGGCAGCTGCTGTTACCTCCAATGTGGCCATTGCCCTGACTCACCAGCGGGGCCCTCTGCCCCTCTCCCCTGACTCTCCAGCCACCCTCCTTGCTCGCTCTGCTCGGCGCTCAGCAGGGTCCCCAGCTTCCCCGCTGGTGCCTGTCCGAGCTGGCCCGTGGGCATCCACCTCCCGCCTGCCCGCCCCACCTGCCCGAACCCTGCATGCCAGCCTATCCCGGGCAGGGTGCTCCCAGGTCTCCCTGCTGGGTCCCCCCCCAGGAGGAGGTGGACGGCGGCTAGGACCTCGAGGCCGCCCACTGTCAGCCTCCCAACCCTCTCTGCCTCAGCGGGCAACAGGCGATGGCTCTCCTGGGCGTAAGGGATCAGGAAATGAGCGGCTGCCTCCCTCAGGGCTCCTGGCCAAGCCTCCAAGGACAGCCCAGCCCCCCAGGCCACCAGTGCCTGAGCCAGCCACCCCCCGGGGTCTCCAGCTTTCTGCCAACATGTAAAACCCTTGAGTACATCCAGCCTTAGTTCTTGGGGTGCAGTAGTATGTACTCTAGGGCAGATGCCTCTTGGGGAAGGCCGTGGGGACCTGAAACATTGCCCCATGGAAGTGTCGACCCTGTGCGGACATTCCCCATACTGCCATGAAGACGGTCTCAGCTCAAGAATCCTGTAGCTTGTCCCATCATAATCCATTCACCCATTCATCATGTGTACTGAGCAACTACCATGTTCAAGGTAATATGCCAGGCGTTGTATGTCTCCACTGCCAAGTAGAAATGACTCAAAACCCTCTGACAAGAATATTCCCCTGGCTATGGTCCTGCCAAGTGCAGGCCCAGGCCCATGACCCCACCTTTACTAAGCACAAGTACTTGCCACCGCCATCACTGCCAAGTAGCTAGACGTCTCTGTTTCCCTGCCAATGATCCTGCAGGTTCTGCCTGGCCTGGTTATCTTCCTGTTCCTGTAGCATAGCCAGGCACTGCCAATCACCTGCGCCCCCATTACTGCCAGCAGATGTCTTGAGTCCTGAGTGTGGGTATCCACCTTTACCCACTCACTGCCACCTGTGGACACTCCGTGTCTACCCCCTGAGTGGGAACACACTTCTAAGTTCCCTGCAGTCTCTGTCCTGTGGTAGACCGTCTTTTTGTAAACCGGGAGGTGCCTCTCCCCTGTACCCTCTGCCCCAGTCATGCCCCCCTAAAAGTTAAGGAGTAGTTGGCACCTCCTTATTAATATGCCAGCCTAGATCCCCGCTGGTGGAGGGGCAAATGGCTGAATCCTTGTGAGATATTTTTTTCTTTGCTTGTTTATTTATTTATTCATTTATTTAATTGTATTTATTCATTTACTAATTTTATGTGTTACCAATTCATTTTGTTTACTCATTCCTTTATCCATCCCTCCCCTCCTTTTCAGATAAGGAGACAGGAGGAGTAGGAGGAGGCAGGGCCTCTCCATGCCAGCCTCTGTGGTCCTTTCCCAAACCCATCAGCGCAATCCTTGAACCTTCTCCCAGGTAGGGGCAGGAGGAGCCACATGAGAGAGGGAGAAGGACTGTGTTTACCTTTAGAGTTTTGTTTTGTTTTTTTCCTTCTGAGTTTGCTGTTGGTGCAGGAGTAAGGGAAAGGCCCAAGGTATCCAAGCCTGGGGAAGGGCAGGCCAGCCAGCACCTCTGCCTTCTCAGGGACAAGAGTAGTCCTTTACCACACTCACTCACTCTGTCTGTCCCCTCTGCTACTCTACAGCATTAGAGACTGTGGGGCCAGGACCCCAAGTCTCCTTTCCTTCTGGGTGGGGAGTTCTGGGGTTGTTGGTGTGTGGGAGAAGTTTTATAATTGCTTCCAAACAGCTGGGTTTAAATATAAAATAGACACACTCATTTTTGGCTCTTGGTTTGTGTGTGGGAACAAAGTGAGTGGGAAGGAATTTCTGGGTGCAGAAGGAAGCAGCCGGGGATTTGACCAAGCAAGGTATCAGGTGGGCATGAGAGGAGCCAGGACAGTGGTCTACAAGCCCAGCACAGAGGTTGTGAAGACAGTGACAAAATCAGCTGCCCAGCCCTCCCTTCTCCCCAGCATCCATCCCACCCAGTTTTCTCCAAAGCGTGGACTATCATGTCACTGTTAGTCACGATGAAAGGGTAGCCTGCCCTGGCACGAGATGCCCAGATTATCATGAGGGCCACATATGAGAATGGGAGACTGTGGACAAGATTTCCCTGTCTCCCTTCTCCCCGATCCCAAGGGATGAGATGTCTGGGGTTATGGAATTAACCAGCCAAACTGGGATTAAAGGCTCAAGGCATCTTAGGGCCTGCTGAGTGGATTGGATGCAGGGAATGTACAGTTGGTGCTGTCGGGTGGCCAGTGCATAATTGGACACAGACTTTCAGGACCTGTGTGAAATGGAGATGGGGAAGGGGCAACCTCGAATGGGGCTAGATGGCAGATATAGTCTCAGATAGGCCTCAGGTAGGGAGGTTCAGGAATAGAGAAGAGAGGACTTAAAGGTGAGGCTTTGGAGGGGTGTGGGCTGGAGGACGTAGACTGGGGAGGAAGGGATGGGATACAGGGGTAGGCTGGGCCAGAGGAGGGAGGGGCGTCTCAGGATATGCTCAGCACCCGCATGATGTTGGTGTACCCGGAGCCAGGTCGCCAGCCTGTCACCACAATCACCAGGTCTCCAACACGGAGGAAGCCACGGAGCTTTCCTTGGGGAGGGAAAGAAAACAAGACATCGGACAGGCGTGGTGGCTCACACCTGTAATCCTGCACTTTGGGAAGCCAAGGTGGGCAGATAACCTGAGGTCAGGAGTTCGAGACAGCTTGGCCAACATGGTGAAACCTTGTCTCTACTAAAAATATAAAAATTAGCTGGGTGTGGTGGCGTGTGCCTGTAATCCCAGTTACCCAGGAGGCTGAGGCAGGAGAATCACTTGAACCCAGCACCCAGGAGGTAGAGGTTGCAGTGAGCCGAGCCGAGATCGCGCCACTGCACTCCAGCCTGGGCGACAGAGCAAGACTCCATCTCAAAAAAAAAAAAAAAAAAAAAAAGAAAATTAGTCATTGAGGAACCAGGCCAGTCCTGTAACGAGAACCAGCCACCACCATCCACCATGTCAAGGCCACCCTGTAGGGAATGAGGGAATGAGGCAGTGAAGTATGTCCCATAGGTGGCACGCAGGGAATATCACCACTGCAGTATATTAAAGGCACAAGATAGGCCGGCACGGTGGCTGACGCCTGTGATCCCAGCACTTTGGGAGGCCGAGGCAGGCAGATCATGAGGTCAGGGGATCGAGACCATCCTGGCCAACATGGTGAAACCCCGTCTCTACTAAAAATACAAAAATTAGCCGGACGTGGTGGCACGTGCCTGTAGTGCCAGCTACTCAGGAGGCTGAGGCAGGAGAATCACTTGAACCTGGGAGGCGGAGGTTGCAGTGAGCCGAGATCGTGCCACTGTACTCCAGCCTGGCGACAGAGCGAGACTCCATCTCAAAAAAACAAAGAACAAACAAAACTCCTAGCAGGAGTATCCGTGCTAGGACAGAGTGTGTTGCTAAGTAGTACAGCTGTCTGCCTGTGTGGCTATGCTGATGGAAGAGGTGTTTGTGATATGCCAGACTGATATCTCAGTCTTAGTGACTCTCACAGGGAAAACCTGGAACCACAGGAGAGAGGCAAGGCCCTTTGAGTGGATATGGGAAGCTGGGTTGGAGGACTCCTGATATGAATGGTAGGAGTCGGCGGGGAAGGTCTAGGTAGCTCACCACTTTCAATGCCAAATTGCACCCGGCGATCTACGTCATCTGCCCAGATGGCTTCTGGAGGTTCACGGTAAAGCAAGGGGAAGACTCCTCGGCATAAGTGGACCTGGCGGGCAGCTTGGGCAGAGCGGGTGACAGCAATGACTGCTGCCCGAGGTCGGTACTGAGACAGAAGCTGGGCTGAGCTGGAGAAGGCAGAGAAGGTCAGCCCAGAACAGCGAGGGTGTGGTGAACCAGGAAAGGAGAGTCTGGGTTCTGGTTCCAGGTGTCACTAACAAGCTGTGTGACCCTGAGTAAGTCATCATACTTCTCTGGGCCTTGGTGTTCTCACCTGTAAAATGAGTGTAAGAATGCCTGCCTCCCAGGCTGGGCACAGTGGCTCATGCCTGTAATCCCAGCACTTTGGGAGGCCAAGGTGGGAGAATTGTTTGAGCCCAGGAGTTGAAGACCAGCCTAGGCAACATAGTGAGACCCTATCTCTGTTTAAAAAAAAAAAAAAAAAAAGAATGCCTGCCCTCCCTACCACACAAGAAAGATATGAGATAATATGGATGTATCGAATGAGATAATAAGGAGAAATCTCTTCAAAAAATATAAAAACTGGCCAGGCACAGTGGCTCATGCCTATGATCCCGGCAGTTTGGGAGGCCAAGGAGGGTGGATCACCTGAGGTCAAGAGTTTGAGACCAGCCTGGCCAATATGGCAAAACCCTGTCTCTACTAAAAACACAAAAAATTAGCCGGGCATGGTGGCAGGCGCCTGTAATTCCAGCTACTCGGGAGGCTGAGGCAGGAGAGTCACTTGAACCTGGGAGGTGGAGGTTGTGGTGAGCCGAGATTGCACCATTGTATTCCAGCCTGAGCAACAGAGCGAGACGCTGTTCTCAAAAGAAAAAACAACAACAACAACAAAGTATAAAACCCTTTTGAGAATGTGCATTATGTGCTTAATTTACTGTATAGATATTAGGTACTATGTAGTACTTAATACCTCCTGTTAATCCTCGCAACCCCACGAAGAACAAATCATTACCTTGTCCTGTTTGTGAGGAAAGACAGCAGGCTAATAGAGCTACATTTCAGAGTAAAGACTTACACTCAGACCTACTGGGCCCTTCTGCAATACCTCAGCATTTGTAGGCTCTGTGGGCCGAATGGACTTGCCTCTGAGCCCCAGGAGCCCAAATGGCCTTGAAGCCAATGTGCCCAGTGATGCTGCTATCCCCTTCCAGCCCTAGAAGCTCACTGGCGTTCTGTGTCTCCTGGCCTCCAGCTGTCATTGCTGCCTCTCCTCTTGTCTCAGGTGGACACTCTTCACTCCTGGTGACCAGACTAAACCCAGGCCTGGGGCCCATCCCAGCCTACCCCTGACCCAAATCTCCATCTGGGCATCCCCCTCACCGGCCAGTTGTGGTCAGTACGATGATGGCAGCAGCACAGCACTTGAAGGCAGCCTCCACGGCGCCAATGGCGATGACCTCAGTGGGATCACGGCTCAGTGGCGCTGCCCGACGTAGCTCCTCAAACAGCTGCCGGTGGTACACTGCAGCCTCTGCCTCCCGGGCAATCTGCAGGTGCCAGAATGTCAGGCTGGGAAGGGGCACTGGGGTATGGAAGGGATTTGGTTCCCTGGCCCATTTGCTTTTCATTCTGAGCTCCTACCGCATGCTGCATCTTCACGGCTTCCACAGGGAAGTTGCCTTTGGCAGTCTCCCCTGACAGCATGATGCAGTCGGCCCCATCTAGCACAGCATTGGCCACATCGCTTGTCTCTGCCCTCGTTGGCCGGGGCTTGGTAATCATGCTCTCCAGCATCTGAGGGACAGCATGGACATCAAAGATGTAGGAGTCACACCGTGACTTGAGACCCTGCCCAAGCTACTCTCTGACACCCACGTTCTCAGAGGGTCCTGAAATCCAGGGTCACAGTCACAACCCCTGAAAATAGGGGTCAAAGTATATCTAACTTTATCATTTGAGGATCAAACACTTGTCAGCAAAATGTGCTATAAACCTACAGTGTGGGCTGGGCACGGTGGCTCACGCCTGTAATCCCAGCACTTTGGGAGGCCGAGGTGGGTAGATCACCTGAGGTGAGGAGTTCGAGACTAGTCTGGACAACATGGTGAAACCCTGCCTCTACTAAAAATACAAAAAGTAGCCTGGTGTGGTGGTGGTAACTGTAATCCCAGCTACTTGGGAGGCTGAGGCAGGAGAATTGCTTGAACCCAGGAGGTGGAGGTTGCAGTGAGGGAAGATTGTGCCACTGCACTCCAGCCTGGATGACAGAGACAAAACAAAACAAAACAAACCCTTACAGTATGGGTATTCATCCACAGTTGTCCCTAAAACCCACAAAGTGCCAAACCTCAAGGGCTCACTCCAGACCTGTGTGGCACAGACAACAGGCTTGCCCGCCAAGTTGCAGCGCCCAATCATCATCTTCTGAGCCAGGAAAACCTTCTCTGCTGGAATCTCGATGCCTAGGTCCCCCCGTGCCACCATAATGCCGTCGCTCACCTCCAGGATTTCATCAAACCTGAGAAGTTGGGAGAATCAGGGCCGAGGCAGAAAGCCAGGAGATGCCAGGCAGAGGCAGGCGGAAGAAGAAAGGTGATGGGGAATAGCGACAGGGCCGAAGGGGAACAGAGCCCGAGCCTCACCTCTTCACGCCTTCGTGGTTCTCAATTTTGCTGATGATCTTGATGTCCTGTCCTTCTGGCCCCAGAGCAGCCCTGACAGCAGCCACATCGCTGGCTTTCCGCACAAAGGAGGCAAACACGATGTCCACTCCATGCTCCACCCCGAAGCGCAGGTCCCGGACGTCCTGCTCGGACAGCCCGGGCAAGTCCACCTGGGCCCCCGGCAAGTTCACGCCCTTACGGCTGCCCAGGACGCCACCGTTCTCCACTTGCGTCACCAGTCCCTCTGGGCCTGAGGACATGGAGAGAGCCAGCTGCGGTCAGGGGTGAGGACCGGGCACAGTTACAGCAGAGAGGACACTGGGCTTGGACCCCCAAGAGGTCAGGAACCACGCCCTCCTCGTCTCTCCGCCCTTATTCTGGGCTCTGCCCAGAAGAGGCACAGATGGACATCCGTGGAAGAAACGACCCACCCGTAGTTCAGCCCAAACCCAGGGTGAGCGCGGAGTCTGCATGCTGGGGACTCCTGGGACAGGCTGGCAAAGACGCGTGGCCAGGGGAAGGTGTGGTCGGTCTGAGGGCTGATGGGGGAGCCAAGGAGAAGGGAATGTGCCCAGCGCACGGATGTGGTCAGGGCGGGAGGCGCGTCCGCACCGATTTTCTGGACCACTAGGGAGATGAGCCCGTCGTCAATGTAGATGCGGCCCCCCACCGGCACGACCCCGACAATATTGGGGTAGTCCACCCACACGGTGTTCGCGTTCCCCCGCGTCCGAAACGCGGGGTCCACAGTCACCAGCACCTGGGAGCCCTTCACCAGCTCCACTTCCGACTCCGGACCCTAGGGGCGGAGCCAGAGGAGACGTGAGTTCTGCGCCCCGGAGTCCGGGACCCGCCCCTGCCCACGCCTGGACCCAGTCCAACTGGCGTCGCCTTTCCCGCCCCGGCCCGGCGAGTCCCAGCCCCACTGCTCACCCCCTGCAGGATCCCAGTGCGGATCTCCGGTCCCTTGGTGTCCAGGGCGATGGCCACGGGCCGGTAGCTGAGCGGGGAAGCTGCAAAGCTCTCCACCGCCTCCCGGACGTTGGCGATGGACTCAGCGTGGTACTGGGGGAGGGAGCGGAGCGAGGGTTTCAGGGGAAGGTGGCCAGGACCTCGAGGCATCCTCCTGCCCCACCCACCGCCCGGCGGCCCGTCCTGCACCTCGTGGGAGCCGTGGGAGAAATTGAGTCGCGCAATGTTCATCCCGGCCTTGATCATCTCCTTGAGGCGCTCCACGGAGCGAGATGCCGGCCCTAGAACCAGAAATTCGCGTTCAGACGACATTCCCCCAGAACATGAGAGGCAACCAAACCCAACCCATTACCACTCTCAGAAGGCCCCGCGCCACAAGAGTCCTGCTACCTGACCTTTATTCCCTGATGCAACCCCTGCTCACAGATCACAGACTCCGCTTCCCTCTCCAGCAAACATCTGTCCCCTTGGGGAGACGGCACTGTGGAAGTAGGAGGGGAGTGCCCTCCGCCAGGCCTGAGGTCACTGTGTGGGCATGTGATGTATGTAAGTGCTGCTTGCCCGGCTACCCTAGGGTATGGGGTGTAGGGCAGGGGCTGGGAGCCAGGTGAGGGCGTTTGGGTGCGGGGTTTTAGAGCTAGGAGGCCTCATGGACTGAGGAGAGCTGAGTTGAATCCCACGCCAGCACTGCTATGGGGCAGCTGCTAGCTGAGAGCAGGTTGGCTCATTCTTCGGTCCCTATCTGTCTTCCCACTTGTGCACTAGATCTCCTCCTTCTCACCTGCTCAAGGACATAGATTCAGCCATTCTGTGGTCCTCTGTGACATCCATGTTTTCCTTTCTTTTTCTTTTCTTTTTTTTTCTTTTTTCTTTTTTTTTTTTTTTCTTTTTGAGACAGAGGGAGTTTTGCTCTTGTCACCCAGGCTGGAGTGCAGTGGCAGCATCTCTGCTCAATACAACCTCTGCCTCCCCGGTTCAAGCAATTAGCCTGCCTCAGCCTCCTGAGTAGCTGGGATTACAGGTGTGCACCACCACACCCGGCTAATTCTTTTGTATTTTCAGTAGAGAAGAGGTTTCACCCTGTTGGCCAGGCTGGTCTTGAACTCCTGACCTCAGGTGATCCACCCACCTTGGCCTCCCGAAGTGCTGGGATTACAGGTGTGAGCCACCTCGCCCAGCCATGTTTTCCTTTTTTACTGGATCATCCCCATCAGCATGTAAACCTACTGTTATTTCTTTCATCATTTAAAAAAAATTCTAGGCCGGCACAGTGGCTCAAGCCTGTAATCCCAGCACTTTGGGAGGCTGAGATGGGCGGATCAGGAGGTCAGGAGATCGAGACCATCCTGGCTAACACTGTGAAACCCCATCTCTACTAAAAATTACTACTCGGGAGGCTGAGGCAGGAGAATGGTGTGAACCCAGGAGGCGGAGCTTGCAGTGAGCTGAGATCCAGCCACTGCACTCCAGGCTGAGCACATAGCGAGACTCTGTGTCAAAAAAAAATGATCTTAATCCCCTGGTTTCCCCTCAGTCCCAGTTTTTGCTCTCTCTTGCAGCAAAACTCATTGCAAGAGTTATCTGTACTTGCTGCCTCCAGTTCCCCTCCCCCATTCTCCCTTGACTCCACCCCACTCAGGCACTGGCCTCCATCTCTCCACTGCATCTGTTCTTGTCAAGGTCACCAAGAACCTCTGTGTTGTTGCTCAGTGTAATGCTCAATGCTCAGTCCTCCTCTATTGGCCCATCAGCAGCCTGGAGACACATCCCTCTTTGACACACTGTCTTCACCTGACCTCCAGGACCACACCCTCTCTTGGTTGACTCCTACCTCACTAGCTACTCCTTCCCAGTCTCCTTTCCTTGTTCCTCCCCTTAACGTTAGATACCCTGTTCTCTTCTCTGTCATTTCACCTACACTCCTTTGGTGATCTCAACTAGTCTCATGGCTTGAGATACCATCTATATGTAGCCAACTCCCACGTGTCTCTCCAATCCAGACCTTTCTCCCAAACCCAGAGTTGTGTACCTGACTGCCCCCTCTCTATCACACTTGGATGGCTAATATGCATCTCAGACTCAACATGTCCCAAGTGAACTTCTGCTCTCTCCCGAACCCCTTCCACCACAGTCTTTCCTGCTCAGTGGATAATGCATTGTTGCAGTTCCTCATGGCAAAAACCTCAGAGTCACCTGTCACCTTTGACTCCTTTCTTTCTTGCCCTTACTCCCTACCCCATATCCAATCAATCAGCAAATCCTGTCAGCTCTACCTGCAAAATACATTCAGAATCTGACCACTTCTCACCACCTCACTGCCACCAACTGGTCTGAGACAGAAATACTGCAGGGCACCCTCCCCCCGACCCTCCATCTATTTTCAGTACAGTAGCAGGGGAGGGGAGGTTCTATTAAAACGTAAATAAGAGCTTGTCATTCCCCTGCTCAAAACCCTGCAGTAGTTTATCATTTCACTCGGAGGAAAACGCAACTCAAATTCTAAAAATGGCCTACAAAGCCCCACCTGATCTTCCTCTCCCCGCAGTCTCTTCACATCTGCAGCTCTTCCCCCTTAATGGTTTTTAGCTCTTCTTTTTATTTTATTTTATTTTATTTATTTTTGTTTTTGAGATGGAGTCTCGCTCTGCTGTCCAGGCTGGAGTGCAGTGGCCGGATCTCAGCTCGCTGCAAGCTCCGCCTCCCGGGTTTACGCCATTCTCCTACCTCAGCCTCCCAGTAGCTGGGACTACAGGTGCCCGCCACCTTGTCCGGCTAGTTTTTCGTATTTTTTAGTAGAGATGGGGTTTCACCGTGTTAGCCAGGATGGTCTCGATCTCCTGACCTCGTGATCCGCCCGTCTCGGCCTCCCAAAGTGCTGGGATTACAGGCTTGAGCCACCGCGCCTGGCCGGTTTTTAGCTCTTCTAACCTCCTTGACTTAGGCCTTGGCACTGACTGGTCCTTCTTCCTGGAATTCTCCTCCCGGATCTTTGCATGGCTAATTCTCTCATCTCCTTCAAGTCTTCCCTTAGGTCTCATTTTCTCAATAATGGGTACCTGACCTCCCTATTTAGGGCTGCAACTTGCCTTCACCCTTGTACCCCTGATGCCCTTACCATACTTGATGTCTTTCCCCATAGCATTTATAACTTTCACTTTTTCTTTCTTTTCTTTTCTTTTTTTTTTAAGACAGAATTTTGCTCTGTCACTAGGCTGGAGGACAGTGGCAGGATCTCTGCTCACTGCAATCTCCGCCTTCTGGTTCAAGCAATTCTCCTGCCTCAGCTTTCTGAGTAGCTGGGACTACAGGCATGCACCACCACGCACAGCTAATTTTTGTATTTTTAGTAGAGATGGGGTTTCACCATGTTGGACAGGATGGTCTCAATCTCTTGGCCTCGTGATCCGTCTGCCTCCGCCTCCCAAAGTGCTGGGATTACAGGCATGAACCACCGCGCCTGGCCATTTTTTTTTTTCTTTTTTTTTAAGACAGAATTTTGCTCTTGTTGCCCAAACTGGAGTTCAATGGCATGATCTCGGCTCACTGCAACCTCCGCCTCCCAGGTTCAAGCGATTCCCCTGCCTCAGCCTCTCGAGTAGCTGGGATTACAGACACATGCCACCATCCCTGGCTAATTTTTTGTATTTTTAGTAGAAACAGGGTTTCACCATGTTAGCCAGGCTGGTCTCGAACTCCTGACCTCAGGTAATCCACCTGCCTCAGCCTCCCAAAGTGCTGGGATTATAGGCATGAGCCACTGCGCCCGGCCTTCTTTCTTTCTTTCTTTCTTTCTTTCTTTCTTTCTTTCTTTCTTTCTTTTCTTTCTTTCTTTCTTTCTTTCTTTTCTTTCTTTCTTTCTTTCTTTCTTTCTTTCTTTCTTTCTTTCTTTCTTTCCTTTCTTTCTTCCTTCCTTCCTTTCCTTCCTTCCTTCCCTTCCTTCCTTCTTCCTTCCTTCCTTCCTTCCTTCCTTTCTTTCTTTCTTTCTTTCTTTCTTTCTTTCTTTCTTTCTTTCTTTCTTTCGTTCTTTCGTTCTCTCTTTCTCTCTTTCTCTCTCTCTCTCTCTTTCTCTTTCTTTCCTTCTTTCCTTCTTTCTTTCTTTCCTTCCTTCCTTCCTTCCTTCTTTCTTTCTTTTCTTTCTGTTTTTTGACAGGGTCTCGTCTGTCACCTAGGCTGGAGTACAGTGGCTTGATCATGACTTACTGCAGTCTTGACCTCTTGGACTTAAGTGATCCTCCCACCTCAGCCTCCTGAGTAGCTGTAACTACAGGCGTGCACCACCACACCCAACTAATTTTTGTATTTTTTGTAGAGATGGGTTTTGCCATGTTGCCCAGACTGGTCTCAAACTCCTGGGCTCAAGCGATCTGCCAACCTTGGCCTCCTAAAGTGCTGGGATTACAGGCATGAGCCACTGAGCCCAGCCCACTTTTATTTATTTATTTATTTATTTATTTATTTATTTATTTTTGAGATGGAGTTTTTCTCTTGTTGCCCAGGCTGGAGTGCAATGGTGCGATCTCGGCTCACCACAACCTCCCCCTCCTGGGTTCAAGCGATTCTCCTGCCTTAGCCTCCTGAGTAGCTGGGATTGCAGGCATGCGCCGCCATGCCTGGTTACTTTGTATTTTTAGTAGAGATAGGGTTTCTCCATATTGGTCAGGCTGGTCTCAAACTCCTGACCTCAGGTGATCTGCCCGCCTTGGCCTCCCAAAGTGCTGGGATTACAGGCATGAGCCACTGCGCTCGGCCTCACTTTCTAATGGAATAAATAATTTACTTATTTGAAATAATTTATTGTGCTTACTGTTTATTGCCACACCAGCTAGACTGTCAGCTCCCCCAGGGTAGGGATTTTTGTCTGTTTTTTTCACTGATCTACTCCCAGGGCCCAAAATCTTATCTACTATATGCTCAACAAATTTTCGTTGAATGAATGACTGTGTCAAACATGGAGAAGTCTCAAAGGAGACAAGAGAGGAAGAAGCACCTCAAGAAACACCAGTAGGCTCTGTGAGGCTGCAGGGGATGGGTGTGTTTACCGATGGTGGCAATGATGCTGGTACTGCGAGCAGCCACGGGCTCGGAGTCAATGTCCAGTAGGCAGAGGTGCTCCAGGAAGGTGTCTGCCATAGCAGCTGGAAGCTGCTGCTGCTGGAAGAAGGCAGTGCCCAGCTCCTGGGTCAGTTGGGCCACACTAGCCCGCCGAAGATACCCCGCTGGCCCTGTGGTAGAAGGGGACACAGGGACTGCATGTCACCTGCCCTTCCTCCCCATGCCGTCATCTCTCAGCATACCCTCTATTCCTTCCCTTCTTATGAGCTGGGCATCATGCATATATTATCTTATTACGTCACAAGGATCCTATAAAGCAGGTACTGTTAAATGTTCTATAATTATCCAATTTTATGGATAAAGAAACAGATACTGAGAATCAATGGTCCAAGATCATACAGCTTTTAAGTATGGAGCAGCTAGGATTCAAATCTAGGTCTGACTAACTCTAGCCCAAGTTCTTGATCACTCAGTTATACTGACCCCGCACAACCCAGGACCCCCCAACCTGCAACTACTGATACCTCTCAACCCCACCACCCCTTGATGTCTAGTCCCCAGCAGCCTGTCCCTATTCAGGCCCAGAATCACCCAGTTCCTGCTCCGAAGGTCTCTGTTTTCTCCCTTCTAACCCCTGGCTACTGGCTGGCTTCCCCACCCCATCCTCTGAGTCTCCCAGACCTCTCAAAGCTGCTACAGACCCAGAGGTCCCTGTAGCTTGACCCAGCCCAGTTCAGAGGAGCACCCCCATTCCAGCCGCACCTTCCATGCCACTGCACACCTCTCTGGGTCTCCCTCTTTGTGGGTCTGCTCCACACTGTTGGGTTGTCAGAGGCATGAGACCCAGCTGGGCTGGGGATCAGTTCTGCAGACTGGTTAAAGTGTCACCAGTGTCTCCTATTCCACTGGAAGCCCTGTATGCCAGGGGCCAGAGTCCAGGAACCACGGGAGTACCCCGTGGCTTACATGTTGCGGCTCTGGCCTGCCTATAGGGCCTGGAAAAGGCCCATGCCAGGGTCCATAATTTAACACAAGGGAGGTTCTGAAGAACGTATGTGTCTCTCCAAAACCCACCTAGCCAGTGGCTGATATGGATCATTTATACCCTCCACCCTGGCTCCTAGTTTCCACCCTCATTTTCCTCCTATGTTCCATGGCTTCTGCTTCCCCTTCTTACCTCCTGGAGCCCCAATCAGGATGGACTTCGCTAAGTCTCTTTGGGACTTAGAGACCCATGACCAGCGCTGCAGGGATGGTATGTTCTCCTGGATCGACATACTTTCAGTGTGGGCCTGGGGCTGCGGGGCCGTGGAATGAGAGGGGGAGGATGACAAAACTGCCGGTCTTATCTAAGGGAGCCAGAGAAGAGAAAAGGGGCACACCCAGTAGGCCACTCTGTCCCCACAGAGTCCCTGCCCCAGAACTGCCTGCTGTCTGCCCTCATCTCCTGGCATTTCCTTTCATCCATTGTTCCTGATAAATTTGCAATCCATTCATACTATCTGGTCATCCACGTGAATAGATATATATTTTCTGGTCATTCGTATGGCCCCCTTTTCTTTGTACTTTACTGAAGTTAGCCCTAGTGAATCCAGGGAGCAGGGGCTATGGGGGGGGCGGGGGAGCTGGAGCCTGAAGAAAGGCAAAAGGGATCACTGTGATAGTATGGTGGGGGGAGGGACACCCAGTTCTGCCCACTTTTTTTTCTCTGTCTCAACCAAGAAATGCAGAATGCCTTCATCACTCTGTAACCTGGCCAGCTGCATGTTTTTGCCTACAGGTTTGAACCCAAGATGGTACGTTGAACATTCCCAGACACTGATAAACTTGATTAGGTTGTTGCTGGAAACACTGAAAGATTGACTATTTTACTAAACTTATAGACGCCTACCCCCAGGGAAATTTTCTCTCCTCCCTTCCTTCCTTCTTTTTTTTTTTTTGACAGAGTCTCACTCTGTCCCCCAGGCTGGAGTGCAGTGGCGCAATCTCAGCTCACCGCAACCTCTGCCTCCTGGGTTCAAGTGATTCTCCTTTCTCAGTCTCCTGAGTAGCTGGGATTACAGGCACGTGCCACCACACCCGGCTAATTTTTGTATTTTTAGTAGAGACTTGGGATTTCACCATGTTGGTCAGGCTGGTCTCGAACTCTTGACCTTGAGATCCACCCGCCTTGGCCTCCCAAAGTGCTGGGATTACAGGTGTGAGAAACTGCACCTGACCTAATTTTTGTATTTTTTTTTGTAAAGACGGAGTTTCACCATGTTGGCCAGGCTGGTCTCCAACTCCTGGCCTCAAGTATCCACCAGCCTCAGCCTCTCAAACTGCTGGGATTACAGGTGTGAGCCACCATGCCCAGCCTATCTTTCTTCTTCTTTTTTTTTTTTTTTTTTAAAGGGTCTTACTCTGTCACCCTGGCTGGAGTGCACTGGTGTGATCATGGCTCACTGTAGCCTTGACCTCCTGGGCTCAAACGATCCTCCCGCCTCAGCCTCCCAAGTAGCCGGTACTACAGGTATGCACCACCATGCCTGGCAACTTTTTAAATTTGTATTTATTACAAATATTTTTTTCCTTTCTTTCCACAGGTGTTGACTTTTTATTTTTGTAGGAACTGGTGTCACTCTGTTGCCCAGGTTGGTCTTGAACACCTATGCTCAAGTGGTCCTCATGCCTTGGTCTCCCAAAGTGCCAGGATTACAAGTGTGAGCCATAGTACTGGCCTCAAATTTCTTAAACACTCCTGTAACCACCATATCCTGAACCCCTCCTTGAAAACATACCTGGGTAGAACACCCATTGTCCACAGCAAGGATGTGCAGCAGCTGTTCTGTAGGTAAGTTCCCTTAATGTCTGCTTTGGCCTGATTGCCCTGGCATTTAGCACTTCACTCACTGGAATCCCAATCAGCCTCATCTTGGGATGGTTTGGGGAATCCTTTGCGAGAGCTGCCCTGATGCCAGCTGTGGGTTCAGCTGATACTAACTGGTGGGATTCTCTGGAAGGGCTTTGATGGCATCATCATCATCGTAGCATTCATTAGTTACCATTTGCCCATTCCCCACTGTCCAATCTTTATCGAGCACGTACTCTATATCAGGCCCTAAGGACACACTGGTGAGCAAAACAGACAGGGCCTTTGCCCTCTGTGAGATTTACAGTATAGCGGGGAGACAGACTATGAACAAGTAGCAGAGAAATAAATATGGAACTACAAACCTTGCAAGTGCTACTAAGTAATCGATCAGGGTGCTGGAACACAGAAGGCAGTGGGAGAAGAGAGAGGGTGTATTTTATTTTATTTATTTATTTTGGAAGCAGAGTTTTGCCCTTGTCACCTAGGCTGGAGTGCAGTGGCACGATCTCAGCTCACTGCAACCTCTGCCTCTGGGGTTCAAGCGATTCTTATGCCTCAGCTTCCCGAGTAGCTGGGATTACAGGTGTGCATCACCACGCTCGGCCTCGAGGATGTATTTTAGACAAGATGAGATGGTTGAGGAAGTCTTCTTTGAAGTGATTATTTTGCAGCTAAAATTTGAAGGATGAGGAGGAACCAGTGGGGACAAATGGAGGAAGGGGTTTTCCACGGCGGGGGGGGGGGGTAGAAATAATATATGCCAAGGCTCTGAGGAAGAAAAAGCTTGGCGCCAAGGAGACAAAGAGCTGCAGTGAGGTTGCGTGCCTGGAGTGCAGGGTCGTGGCCCATGGTGAAGGTAGGGGACCTGAGCAGGATCTTGTGATGTGGTGGGTTTACCCAGGGGATGGACATGATCCAACTGATGGTTTAGGTCCCTTCTGTTGCTGGGTAAAGAATAGATGGTAGCCAGGTGTGGTGGCTCATGCCTGTAATCCCAGCACTTTGGGATGCCAAGGCAGGTGGATCACCTGAGATCAGGAGTTTGAGACCAGCCTGGCTAACATGGTGAAACCCTGTCTCTACTAAAAATACAAAAAATTAGCCGGGTGTGGTGGTGCGCACCTGTAATCCCAGCTACTCAGGAGGCTGAGGCAGGGGAATCACTTGAATCCGGGAGGCGGAGGTTTCAGTGAGCCAAGATCACGCCATTACACTCCAGCCTGCACAACAAGAGCGAAACTCCGTCTCAAAAAAAAAAAAAAAAAAAAAAAAGAATAAATGGTAGGTACAGGTAGACCTACTACGGGCTTAGAAAGAATCTTGGTGGTAGGTGATCTAGCATGTTGGCAGTGAAGATGAAGAGAGGGGGGTGGCTTGGAGATGCATTTTGGAGAAGAGCCAGCAAAGTGGAACAGCAAAACAGCCATGGAGAGGGTGGCTTCTAGCATCAAGGAGTCTGGCTTGAGCAGTTGGGTAGATGGTAGTGCCACTAACTGAGACTACAGAAGAAATAGGTTTGAAGTAGGGGGAAATTCAAGCTTTCTGTTTTGACAGGCTAAATTTGAGAAGCCAGTTAATCACCAAAATCCATAGACAGTTGGAGCTGTTCATCGAGCACACTTCCTGTGTACTGGAACAGCGTCCGTGCCTCATGGACACTGTCCCCTTTTATCATTGTGACAACCTAGAAAGAAGGTAGGATCAACAGGCTGTTTTACAGATGAGGGAATTGGGCCATAGCAAGGTTCCTTCTCCACTCTGCTGTGGGGCCAGGAGGCTGAAGGCTTTGCAGAGTGGCATCTGTAGGGTTTGGAGAGTGGCATCCATAGGAGATGAGACAGAGAGGGTGAGGTTGAGCATTTACCTCCGCAGCTGCCCCCTGTGAGGATTCTAGGGACCATTCTCTCCCTATGCCTTGGACCCTTACAGGAGTAACGAAGCCCACTGTTATTAGATCTGGGGTAATGCACTATCCCTTGTGGTTTACCGACACCCTGCCCATTCCTTTGTATAACCCTGTTATGAAACACCTTCAAATTATTCAATTTGAGAGAATTCTTTATTTCCTGAAGAAATCCTACCCGATACACTTGTCTGATACTAAAAGTCTTGTCAGGAGTGTAGCTGGGATTCAGGCCCAGAGAGTTACAACTCCAGAGCCCGAGTTGTAACCACTAAGCCCCATGCCTGCCCCTTGGGACTGTTTCAGTGGATGGGAAGGGGAGAAGTCTGTGACTCTGGAGTTGGAAAAGAGACAGATAGTAGGGAGGACTTCCTAGGGGAAATGAGCATGGGGTCTCATCTCTCTGTA